TCAAACGCAATGTGTGACCAGCTTTTGTTCCTGCTCCTCAGACAGGCTCAGATGACCTTGGCCGGTCCCGCATTTGACTGACTGCATTAGACTGTGTTTTGTTCCGAGACTGAAAGGGATACCGGGCTGACTGCGGCCTCTCGATCCCGCCGAAGGATCAGGTAGCGTTTAACAGCGGAAGCCACAGATTCCACAGCGCCACTCAACGTGTCACGGACGGCACTACTGGGCTCAATCACTTGAATTTCTCTCGTGTTTGCCCGCATGCTGACACTCCCAGTGCTGTTGACGCCCCCTCGATCCATCTTCATCGGCCAGTGGAGCTCCGTGACCCTCCGGATGGGGCGGCCCAGGTAGCGCAACATCACGGGTCTTTAAAAGGCAATTCGTGGGAAAAATGGGCAGAAACTTTCACTTTGACAAAGCGTTAAACTGTGACGTGCACTAATGCACATGTGCTTTTGATTCTTTGTCCCACGTTAATGACAACTGTCAAGCTGAAGTAATAACTTTCGTCTATGGGACCGAATGAAATTTGTTGTCAAATAATGAAATTCACCTCCATCCATTTTACATATATTTATATTAAAATATTTATTAGCCTATCATAAAATAATTCCTCTTTAATATAGGCCCGAGTATTTTAAAGAATTCTAAACTTTTTAATTTTCGATTTTACAGCCTATCACATATTATTAAAAATAGGCTACAGTACTGTGCAGAAGTTTGGAGTTGGTATGATTTTCTTAATGTTTTTGTCTCTTTTGCTCACCAAGGCTGTATTTGTTTGATGAAAATAGTCAAAACGGTAATAATTTGAGATATTACAATTTCAAATAACTGTTTTCAATATGAATATGTGTTCAAATGTAATTTATTTCTGTGATGCAAAGCTGAATTTTCAGCATCATTACTCCAGTCTTCAGTGTCACATGATACTTCAGATATACTGATTTGCTGCTCAAGAATGCCACTTTTGGTCATTTCAAATGAGTCCTTGCTAAATAAAAGTATTAATTTCTTTCAAAACCAAAAAAATCTTACTAACTCTGAACTTTTGAATGGGTAGTGTATGTAGTAATCAACATCATGCCGCAAAAGTTGTACTGAGCTTGACATGCTCCTTAAAGAGAAAGGCAGAAATAAATGACGTTTTGAACTTTTAAGTGCGGTATTCAAGGTTGCAATGAAAATATTATTGTTCTGTCATTGACAGAAATATGAAGGCCAGACAAAAGGAGAACTTGACCCATCAGGAAAGACTGTGGTTTATACCACTGCACTAAACATTTCACGATCAAATTTGGTGATTTACAAACTGGCCCGGTTTGATGAGATGATTGGGGACAGAGGAAGTGTGCATACACCTCTTTTTTCCCCTCAAAGTGTTCACTGCGCTCCTGAGATGCTCAATTGTGGTTTACAGCTGTTTAAACACAAAGATATTCTCACTGTGGTTAGTATAAGGAACCCAATTAGGCAGTAAAGTTGAACTGTAGAGGGGAATAAAAACTAGAGGAGGATCCAAGTCAGTGAACTGAGGTGCCTGCTGCAGTTGCCAGAGGTCGCCATGAAGTGGAGCCATTTGGCATGAATGTTATTCTGGTGGGATACTCCTAACACTGGTGTTACCCTGATTTATGGGCAACCTGGTTTATGATATGAAACGTGTCAGTTTCAGGTTAAAACTCATGAGAAGGTGAGAGAGAATTCGCAAATATATCACCCGTCACCACGTAAGGAACACGCAGTGAGTTTGGAAATCCCTTTTTTCCGATAACAAAATCTGCTTCTCAGGTGAACCAGCCTCACACAGCTGTACTGGAAGACTAAAGAATATTGTTTCCATTGACTTTAAGTACATACTGACTCTTTTTTTTTTTTTTTTTTTGAACAGTATGTAGAGTGTTGGAAAGTCTAATTCATTTTAGTGAAAGAGTTCATTTGGACAGTTAATATAAAAAGCATTATTAGGCCTATAATAATAATAATAATAATAATTTGTTGCATTTATATAGCGCTTTTCTAGGCACTCAAAGCGCTTCACATTGTCAGGGGGTATCTCCTCATCCACCACCAGTGTGCAGCATCCACCTGGATGATGCGACGGCAGCCATAGTGCGCCAGAACACCCAACACACACCAGCTTATTGGTGGAGAGGAGACAGTGATGAAGCCAATTAACAGATATGGGGATTGCTAGGAGGCCATGATGATCAGAGGCCAATGGGCAAATTTGGCCAGGATGCCAAGGTCACACCTCTACTCTTTTCGAAAGACATCCTGGGATTTTTAATGGCCACAGACAGTCAGGACCTCGGTTTAACGTCTCATACGAAGGACATGCTTGTTGACAGTATAGTGTCCCCGTCACTACACTGGGGCGTTAGGACCCACACAGACCACAGGGTGAGTAGGTGGACGACCACCCAAACTAGACCAGTTTGGACCAGCAACAAACCACTTAAGTTTGTATGACCTGATCATACCACATGGTCTCATACCCAAGATGGTCTACCAGGTGTCCACCTGCTAGTCAAATACATAAACCAGCCTGAACCAGATAGAAACGAACGTGTTCTTCCATAACCAGGTGCATTTAGAATCAAACATTTTCTATCGGCCGTATATAGGTCGTCTTTTGTGCTGAAGAATATTTTTGTTTAATTATAAAAACAATTAATAAATAAAAAATTATAGAATCGTTTAATTATATACATTTAAATGGTGTTAAGTTAACTTTTTACTTAAACCATCTTTTTTGCACTAGAAAAAAAATATGCCTCTGGTTTAGTTATACTAAATATCATTAATAAATATACTAAATATTTTATAAGATATTGCCCTAAATATATTAACTAATTTTCAGTGTAGTTAATTATTTTTTTATTATTAATTGTTATTTTAGTGTGTTTCTGACTGTTTCAGAAGAGCTTAAATGTAGTTTACATTACTAGTAGCTTGGTGAACTATAATTTAAAAGAGTATGCATGTAGTTTTACATACTCTACTATTAGATTGGTGAACTAGTTTAAAACAGCTAGACTGTATTACTAAGTATGAACTAGTTTAAAAAAGAGCTTAAATGTAGTTGTACATACTTTAAATTACTACTAACTTAGTGAAAGCTTGAATGAAGTTTTACATATTTTAAATTACTACAGTAGCTACAAGTTTGGTGACCTAGTTAAAAAAGAGCTTTAATGTAGTTTTACATACTTAAAATCACTAGTAGCTTAGTTTAAAAGTAGCTTCTCCAACACGGCTTGTCATTGGAGCAAAGTAGGTCTCCTTTGCTCAGTTGCTGGCATTCACACCATTTATGGACCATAATACCAACTTTAATGCTTTTGGCTGTTTTATTCTGGTCTAAAACATGGTTTGACCTTGAATTGCTTTCCTCTTTCATATTTCTGTGGTTTGACGATGTAAAATTTGACCTCTTCTGTGGAAGTTGGAAAGAGACATCTCAACATGTGGACCGCAGCGATGTGATGATAAACCCAGTGGACATTTATTTAAGCGCTAGTGTTATTTTGACTGAATTTAAGTAATTTGTTATTCTTCCTGGTTTGCGCTGGCCTGCTGTAGAATCTGTTTTCAGTGGCGTACATCCATCTGCTTTCTCTGGGCTTCCTGGTTAATTCTCTTACCACCTGCTCAACATCTCGCCTCGATACCACCAACCTACACGGCGCTCAGCAGAGGGCCTCATCTAACCTGGATCTCCACTTTAAAACTCACCAGCCTGTCAGAAGCATTAATATTGCCTTGGGCACCTGTAAGTTTACAGATAAATGACTTTCAATAACACTCTGCCTTCAAAAATTTTACTCTTTTCAGTCGTATTCTTATGCTATTTATCATCTTTCAAATAAAATTTAAAAAATGTTCTTGCTATAACCTTGTTGTACATACAGTACATATAAATGTTATACCCAGAATATATGGCCTTGACACCGGAGACATGAAATCCAACTTATCACGGACGGATTTTCTCTATATAGAATTGAGGTGAGGTTTTTAAAAGCTGTATTATATCCACTCGGGGGCAGCAAACTAGTCTTGAACAAACATGTCCAAAACTGCCTCATCAGTTATTACAACCTTTTGCGTGAACTTGACAGATACCAGTTTCAAAATACTGTAACAGAGTTAAAGTTCTAGTCTGTTAAGTCTGTATAGCTCATATGTGACCTGGACCACAAACCCAGTCATAAGGGTCGAAATATAATCTGAAAGCTGAATAAATAAGCTTTCCATTGATGTATGGTTTGTTAAAATATGACAATATTTGGCCGAGATACAACTATCTGAAAATCTGGAATCTGAGGGCGCAAAAAAATCTAAACGTTGAGAAAATCGCCTTTAAAGTTGTCTAAATGAAGTCCTTACCCATGCATATTACTAATCAAAACATAAGGTTTGATATATTTATGGCAGGAAATTGACAAAAATGGATATCTACTTAATATCCTAATGATTTTTGGCATAAAAGAAAAATCGATAATTTTGACCCATACAATGTATTGTTGGCTATTGCTACAAATACACCCGTGTGACTTATGACTGATTTTGTGGTCCAGGGTCACATATAGGTTTTTAATACAAGGTGTCTTTATTATGAGCTCCAGGATTCAACTAATGGGCATTCAAAGTCTTTAACCCTGCTGGAAGATCTAGCTAGAGCTAGTTTAAGGTAGGTTTTTTGTTTTGGAGCTGGTTTGTAGCTTGTTCGTGCTGATTAGGTGGACGACCACCCAAACTAGACCAGTTTGGACCAGCAACAAACCACTTAAGTTTGTATGACCTGATCATACCACATGGTCTCATACCCAAGATGGTCTACCAGGTGTCCACCTGCTAGTCAAATACATAAACCAGCCTGAACCAGATAGAAACGAACGTGTTCTTCCATAACCAGGTGCATTTAGAATCAAACATTTTCTATCCACGATAATCCTCAGGTATTCATTCTCATGCAGATCTTTTTATTCAATGATGCTGGACATTCAACTTGACAAGTCTCTATTTGTGGCAGTAAAGTTTTGTTTATTGGCTTTGATGTCGGTTTATCTCTCCAGGCCCTCTGGAGATTCTTTTAGCTGCTTCTCAGATTCCTGTTTGTCCTTTTCCATTTGTTCCTGCTCTTTGGTGTCCAGTTCCTTCAGTTTTTCCTCCACGTCTTTGGGAATCTCCACCTCCATCAGATTCTCCATTCCTGCCTCCGGCTCGTCTCCAATCAAAACCTTAATCAAAGACACACAAAATTGCACATGAAACCTTAATGGACCTCAATATGTTCCGTCAGAGTCGCATATCGAGAGAAAAGTGGTAATGACGCAGGACTGGAGCTAATGAGATGCCAGACAGCACTTCACTTTTACTGTCATTCCCAAGTAGCAATTTCGGGAACCCGACAACTTGGAAAAACTTCAGTAACTTGATAGCTGTTAGTTCAAAACTGCTGCTTTATGAAAAAGCGCCCATTAATCCTGGATAAATATTAGCCTCGTTCTGCGCTTGGCATATTAGCTGTTTTATTGACGCTAATTAAAATGGTTGGGTTGAGGCAAACGGCCGAACCACTGCTTCTGGCCTGGAGTTCAAAAGGGATCTCCCAGACGTTATGGAGAATATCATGCTTTAATAGGAGACCCTGTGACATCTTTTCCATGGGGCTGTACCCAAATATACGCCTGCAACGGTGCAAGGAACAGGCTTTTTCCACCAAATTAGTGTCTCTTGCTTTTTTTCGACCAAACTCATAAATCCTGGTTTTTGAGAACTGGAACTGATCTGCCTACTGTCTGGGGTCTTCCAAAGCACAACAATCCACATCTACAGCAAACGTTGCATGTGACGATCTTGCAAAAGTGATGCAATAGAGATGCAATCGTGTAATTTGTATGGAACTGCATTGATTTGAACCTAATGAGCTAATAATGTGTTACACTAAGTATTGACAACACACTGCGCCCACAAATATTGGATAAAATAGTCTCGTAATATCAACTTGTCTGCCATCTTGAATTCGTTTTTTTTCACCAAGCTCATTGCAATGTATTCTGGGATTGCTTTATCCTCGAATGATACATGCATTGCTGCCTTAAATGTTTTCATACCTGGATGAGTTTCTCACAGGCTGAAATCACATGTGGATCCTTCTCCCATTTGTGAAACTCTCTCATGATGGGATACACGTTCTTGTTCTTCATAATCTGTCGGCCCACTTTAGTAGCTGTAAGCTGAATATGAACAGATCATTAAGAAACTGAACTAAAGAATAGCCATACGTACATAAAGGAAGAAAAATATAGTGATAATACCCCACATTCCAAAATAGTTTTGAAAGAAATTAATGCTTTTATACAGCAAGGACCTATTAAATTGATTAAAAGTGGCAGTAATGACATTCATAATGTTACAAAATATTTCTAGTTCAAATAAATGCTGTTCTTTTGAACTTTCTATTCATTAAAGAATCCTTACAAATGTAGTATGGTTTCCACAGAAATATGAAGTAGCACAACTGTTTTCAACAGTAAACATCATAAGAAGAAATGTTTCTTGAGCGACAAATCAGCAAATTTGATTTCTGAAGGATCATGTGACACTGAAAACTGGAGCAATGATGCTCAAATTCAGCTTTGCATCACAGGAATAAATTACATTTTAAAATATTCAAATAGAACATTTTAAATTGTAATAATATTTTACAATGATACTGTTTTACTGTATTTTTGATCATATAAATGCAGCCTTGATGAGCATAAGAGACTTTCAAAAATGTTTAAAAAAATCATACTGACCCCAAATATTTGAATGGTTGTATAAGTCATTTACTTCAATACAGGCAAATGCTAGATAAAATAAATGAAAGATTTGAGATGCTGTTCTTACAAGCATCAGGGTTTCTAAGAGCATCTTGCGGATATCAGGATCATCTTCTCGCTTTTTATCCTCTGGCAGGTACTGCAAGTCCACAGGCAAACCTGTAAATGCAAATAAAAATCAATGAAATCTAAAGTATGCAATTGTTGTATTGTTAAAATAGCGTCACGATAATCAAACACTTCACCTCTAAAACATTTTAAGAAGGAAAAGTGGTCATAATCCTATCGCTTAGAATAGAAACAGCATGTCTCTTAATATGCTGGGTTCAGAGTTTGTTCAAATCTCAAACCTTTAGGATAAGCATTAGTAAAAAATCATGCTTGCCAATTATACAGTTCAAACATACTCTTATTAAGTTCGATTGTATGTTTGGGCTATAGTTATACAGACTTTGAAAGGATTTCAGAAAGGTCTTATAAGGTCACTTCTTAACTAATACATTTTCTCTCCTATTTTTGGTCAGAAAGGCATTATGCACAAGTGGAAAATATGGTGCATATAAACTCTTCAAACATGAAACCGGAAACTTTGAACAAAGATTCTGGCCTAGCAAATTCACACCTTCCTGCTGTAATGGTGGTATTTCCACTTTGTTCAGTCCATTTTCCTATTAACATTCAACCTGTGCATCATCAAAATGAGTAAACAGCACCACCTACTGGACAAACGAAAGAAACGTATTGCTTTTTGGTTTCTACACTACAAACAAAAATCAAAACAAAACAAAAGTCGTTCTTGAATAAGGGGCCTGTACCATGAAGCCGGATTAGCAGGCTAGCCAGATAAGTTTCAGTTTAGTTTGCACCAATCCTGGGTTTTATGTGCCATGAAAGTGGCTTGGCTTTTAGCTGCGTTCATTGCCGTAGTGACTTACACTGCACAGCTAGCCTGCTCTGGGGCAGCTTATGTTCTGGGTAAGAGATCTCAAACTGAAATTGGACCAATCAGATGTGAGTAAAGTGACACGTCTGACGCAAAAAAAGTCACTCCCCCAGTTTCTCTTCCTACAAATTAAGGGTCATTATAAAGTACCTTTAAAAATACAACAAAATTGTCTGGCTTTAATGATAATTACAATTTACATGATTTATATAATTATAATATGATTTATATTATTATTAATCCATTACACACAAGTACTTTTAGTTTAACAATTATTATAAAGCATTTATTTTAAATGAATATTAATATATACAGATGAGATCATATGTAATATAAGTGGTAGAATCAATAGATAACACTTTAAAAATGGCTGCATGACCTTACATGTTCGAGTCTATCGCTATTATCGACAACTATATAAACTAACTTCACAAGATTCACTTGTGACTGCACTAATAGAGCAAGATCATTTCTTTTATTTGTCCTCTTTCATGGACAAGTACTTCAGTGTAAATGCGTTTAACTTCCTCCTATTCTTTAATCTCTTAACCTTTAACAAAAGAGTTTTGAATCTGGCTGGCTCTCTGGCGAGAAGTGAATCACACTTGCTGTGTTGCGATTGGCTGTTCACCATGATGTCACACATTCACGTGCACGTGCTCCACAAACTCCGGATCAAAGCCTGAGCTGACAAAGAAAGTTGATGATCAGCATCAGACAAAGAAAGTTGATGATCAGCATCAGACAAAGAAAGTTGATGATCAGCATCAGACAAAGAAAGTTGATGATCAGCATCATGGTACCAATAATGCTGGATTGGATTGGAGTGGTTTGGTTTTGTCAACTCGAAACTAATCCTGTAACTCTGAATTTGTTCGTCTACCATCATGCTACATGTTTCATAAAACAAGTTTACCAAATAAGCCAGGTTTATTTCAGTTAGTCTGACTTCTAGTCTGTTGATTTGGTTCAAAATAAGTTAGACTTACTAAAATAAGCCTGGCTTATTTGGTAAACTTGTTTTATGGAACAGGCCCCTGGAGGGCATAAACATCAGATGATGTAAAAAGCATCACCTTCATTCTCTTCCTCTGAGAGCTCCTCTGGTCCAGCCAATGGTAATATAAGGTATGGTAAAATATCCACCGCATCACTGAGCAACCACTCATGATGAGCTGTATGGACAAAAGGCATGTTTAATGAGAATTAAATGCATTTTTGTTCATTTGTCTTTGACGTATTTTTGCATTGGCTTTGCTTTCAATTATGACATTTGCAGCAATCAAATCACATGCTCTCTACATTTACATTTATTCATTTAGCAGACGGTATTACCATAGATTACTAAGCCAATCTCAAGCGTTGAGATATAATTTAAAGAAATAAGAATCACTCTTACTATAGTCAAAGCAGCAATTTCTGAGCGTTCCCACCACCCCTCCTCGCCTGGTGCTCGATTCCTCGTACTGTGTGTACGGCAGGAGCCTCTGAATCACACACCTGTAGAAACACGTATGAAACACTTTATTAATGCCATACTATCTAGTACCACTGCTTTTGGAGATGTACCATGGTAATATAATGTTTTTTGACAAAACCATAATAATACCATATTTTGGACATGTACCAAGGTGATATGCCTTTTTTTGTTTTTACACATATCATAATACCATATTTTGAACATGTACTACGGTAATATTGTGGGGGGTTTTGACACGTACCATGATGATACCAATGTTTTGTTAGTTTTTATATCCACACCATGATAATACCATGTTTTTGGATATGTACCATGCTAATATCATATTTTTTAATCCATACCATAATATGTTTTAAGACATGTACTAGTGTAATATTATGTTTTTTTTAATCTGTACTAATGATAATACCATATTTTTATAGATGTACTATGCTAATATAATAGGGTTTCTATCGTGAAATATATAATGTTTTTACGCATACCATGGATCTGGAAATAGTACTATGATTAGTAGAGTGTAATTTTGTATGTAATCATTCAGTACTGTAGTATTATCAGTACAGCTTACCTGTCCTTGTCCAGAATGAAGTGGCGTGCCTCGGGCAGCTGTGTGAGGTTGGACAGCAGGGGTCCCAGATAATGAAGTGAAGCTTTCTTATTGAATCCCTCCGTGCAGAAGATCTCCACCACTTTGTCCAGTCCGATCTTCTGCTCCTGCAGAGCGCTGAACACATCTCTACACGTCCGCTCATGTCGGCTCAGGTTACTGAGGATAGTACA